AATAGAGCCGTAGATTTTTAGAGAATATTTTTTGGATGCTTAATACTGACGTGGATTTTTAAAGAATATTTTTTGGAAGCTTAATAGAGGCGTGGATTTCTAAAGACTATTTTTTCGAAGGCCCAATAGAGGCGTGGTTTTCTAAAGACTATTTTTTTCGAAGGACCACTAGAGGCGTGGATTTTTAAAGACTATTTTTTTCGAAGGCCCAATAGAGGCGTGGATTTTTAAAGACTATTTTTTTCGAAGGCCCAATATAGGCGTGGATTTTTAAAGACTATTTTTTCGAAGGCCCAATAGAGGCGTGGATTTATAAAGACTATTTTTTTCGAAGGCCCAATAGAGGCGTGGATTTCTAAAGACTATTTTTTTCGAAGGCCCAATAGAGGCGTGGATTTATAAAGACTATTTTTTTTCGAAGGCCCAATAGAGGCGTGGATTTCTAAAGACTATTTTTTTCGAAGGCCCAATAGAGGCGTGGATTTCTAAAGACAATTTTTTCGAAGGCCCAATAGAGGCGTGGATTTCTAAAGAATATTTTTTTCGAAGGCCCAATAGAGGCGTGGATTTTTAAAGAATATTTTTTTCGAAGGCCCAATAGAGGCGTGGATTTTTAAAGAATATTTTTTTCGAAGGCCCAATAGAGGCGTGGATTTTTAAAGAATATTTTTTTCGAAGGCCCAATAGAGGCGTGGATTTTTAAAGACTATTTTTTTCGAAGGCTAAATACAGGTACACCATTTACATAAAATCGGACGAAAATATATATGGGACCTATATCAAAATCTTAACCGATTTTCACGGAACTTAGCACACACCATTCTAGACTCAATTAAGTGAGCTGTGCCAAGTATATAAGGACTTTGGTGCACCATTTACATAAAATCGGACGAAAATATATATGGGAGCTATATCTAAATCTGAACCGATTTTCACGAAATTAGCACACATCATTATAGACTTAATTAAGTGCGCTGGGCCAAATTTCGTGCAAATCGAAAGACATATAAGGACGTTGGTGCACCATCGGAACACAACTGCGGTCTGTATTTTGCTCACAAACATACACGGACGGACGTGCATAAATCGACTCAGAAAGTGATTCTATGCATATTCTCAAAAGGAACCATGGGCCTAGCCCGATTCCTTTTGCCTGTTACAAACATATGCACAAAGACATAATACCCTGTACCACAGAGTGGTGAAGGGTATACAAATACACGCCTTATTTAGCTCTTGAAAATTTTTAATTTTATGTAGAATCTGAAAGAAATATTTTTTTATTCTCTTCCAATAGTGATATCGAAGTTCGCATAACTCCATTTTATAATTTTTTTCACGCTCTTCCGCCAATCGTCAAAATAGAAATTGTTCAAATTCTAATGGGAATTTCTATTCAATTTTTGTGGCACTGCGGAAGTGTAAGTTTGTGGATTTTGCGACAACCACTTTAAATTGTTTTCTCTTCATACAGTAACCACACTACTCTCTATATACATACACGCACACATATGTACAGACACTTCGCGATACGCAAAAACAATAATACAGTCAGAACATTTATAATGCGTATGAATGTTCATGTTCATGTCCCTACACCATTTTTATGACTTTGAATTTTTGTCCTTAGAATCGGACGACCCGTCATAACACCACCACGAACCATAATCTTCTCTACTTTTATTGTGGCTATTATTATTTGTATGTGACATTTGGTGTCATGTATACAAAAACACACATATCTACATATGCATATGTAAAGGTATATGTGAGCGTGTGTATGTATAAATACGATTATATTATGTCTGCTTGTATTGCAAGCCACATGAATTAGTGTGTCTGGTGTGTGAAGTTTTTATGTGTGTGTCTGTGTGCGAGTGTTCGGTGAATGCCCCCTTAGCTCTATGAAATTTTTATGAATGTCTGCGATAATGGTTTTTAGCGGATATTATCACAGTTACCGAGTGTTACACGAGTGCAACATACTGACACTGAGACGAACATAAAATATATAAATTTCATTAGGATAGAATTCCTTGCTTATTCAACTTTACCATGACAATTCATAATTTCGAAATGTGCTTTAGTTCCGTTGTCTATTTCCTCACACCCACCCATCCATTCTCCCATAGAAGTTAGGGGGGTCTCCGATTCATCATCACTCTCTTATTTATTATTCTTTAGAAAAAAGTTTTTTTTTATTTTATTTTTCTGGTTTTCTAAAGTTGTGTTTCTTGTTTTTGTTGGCTTTCATATTTAATGACTACGAGAAGCATGAATTATACATTGCTCGCCACCAACCCCCACTCCCCTCCTTAAGTTACCATAATATATGTGGCAAGGCATTGCGTGTGTGGTTTAAAAACCGATAAAGATAATTTCTAGCTTTAAATAATAAATTGTGTAGTTTGAAGTTTTTTGTTTCTTTTCATCCTTCCTCTTTTCCTTTTTTTGTTTTCTTTACGCATTTGTCTGTGAGTTTATCAGAATAATCGTTATTATTATTATTGTTGTTGCGCGGTTTAACTTTTATAATGTGTCGTTTTGGGGGGTAATGGAAGCTCATGGGGACATTTAATGTGATTTATTAAATTATAATTTTATTTGTAGGTTATAATGTATGTTGTGAGGATTTGAGTAGGATTTTACTTACTTGTATCTACAATAAAGGATATATTATGTTGACTCATTAAAACAAGAAATTTAAAATACGTATAAAATGCTTAAATTTCGATTGTGCCGAATTTAATTAACAGCCCTAAACAAGCGTGTAATTTTATAGTCCTCTTTAGAGTAAAGAAATCGAAGATATCGCAAATATTTTTCGTTTCAAGATATTTGCAAGGAAAATACCAATACCAATAGGTCATTAACCCGAGTTAAAGTTGATTTTATGCTTAATCCGGACTAGTGGTCATATATATCCTAGTGGTCATATATATCCTAAATTTGTTCAGAGTGGAGACAGATGCAATGCCTGGTGGCATGTAAAATTTCCTTTGGAAAGTGTGTCATATATGTGAACAAAATTTACAGACTACGTTTTTACGTACGACCATGTGTTGTTTTCAGATTTCGATATCGATTACAATGACAAGATTGCATTGGTGAATATTATAGTTAAAATTGGGTTAATAACTTCAAACGTGCTGCTGCTAGTTCATAGACGTTCAAACAGTCCATTTTGCCACAGTACTGTCATACAACTATAGATACATCATTGAACACTGATATACCGATATCCTTGGACATTCCATTCATTCCACCATAACCATAAAAATGGTTTCTTCTCCTTATTTCCAGCACACTTTTACACGGTCCAAAAAAGTCCCCTGCAGATTGGTGCATATACATTTTTCAAAATACAATCTCGGTGTTTCAAAAGACGTTTACAAGTGGCTAATAATGAATGATACAAAACAATCTGTGCACCTTTTAATTTTATAAGAGGTGAATGGGTCAAATTGACGGACATCTCTGATTTAGCATCTTAAGCAGAAGATGTTGTTATCAATGTCTTTAAAATCCATATTTTGGAGGTGTCTCAATCGAAGTATTTTGAAGAATGAAGTATTGCACATACATTACCCCTATTCCCATAACAGTTCATATTGAAAATTATAATATCGGCGAATTTTCGTGAACAAAGTACAGGTCGCATTTATGATCCGATTTGGATGAAATGTGGCATAGGTCAGTTATTTGGCCCAAGAACGAACCGTATTGAAATTGGGAAAAATCGATTCAGATTTAGATATAGTAAATGGGTCTCCAAAGTCCCTAAATATCTTTCGATTTGCACGAAATTTGACATAGAGTACTGAATTAGGTCCAGAATGATACGTGCCAACTTTCGAGAAAATCCGTTTTTATTTAGAAAATATATATGTGGGCTATATATATTTTCGTTCGATTTTATGGAAATGGTGCAGCAAAGCATCTATATATCTTTCAATTTGCACGAAATTTTGGATGGAGTACTAAAAGATATCTAGAGTGATGTGTGTTAAGTTTCGTGAAAATCGGGTCAAATTTAGATATAGCACCCATATATAGGTTCGTCCGATTTTACGTAAATAGTGCACCAAAGACCCTAGTCGATTTGCATAAAAATTGGCATAGCATACTGAATTAGCACTAGAACGATGTGTGCTAAATCTCGTGAAAATCAGTTCAGATTTAGATAAAGCTCCCAAGTATATTTTCGTCCGATTTAAGGTAATTGGTGCACCAAAGTCCCTATATAACTTTCGATTCGCACGAAATTTGGCATAGCGCACTGAATTGAGTCTAGAATGTTGTGTGATAAGTTTCGGAAAAATCGGTTCAGATTTCGATATAGCTCCGACATATACATATATATTCGTCCGATTTTAAATAAATGGTGCACCAAACTTTTAATGTTGGACCGAATAACTCGAAATTTTGCACAATGTATGAAATTGAGACTGAGTTCTTGAGATTTTCACTTGAAATTTTGTAGGGACAATCTTGAATTAGTGTAGATTCGAATTAAATCAAAAAAAATTTTGACCCCGAGAATGGGGAGGGTCCCCTTAAGCGTAAAAAAGAGTATTGAGATTTAAAAATAAGAAAAGTTTCGAAGTCCTCAATTAGGCATAGCACCTAAAACGGCATATACATTAGAACTTTTTACCGGGTTAACCCACTTTATGAGGATTTATTTGACGTATATTCAAAGGAATTGACAATTGAAACCCACTGGGTTAACGAAATTCAATTAAATGTAAACCTACTATAATATAATGATAACTACAAATGTTCGTTAATTCTTACACGATGTAAGGTACGTATTGTCGGTAAGGTCCACTTTTTGGTATTTTCATTTCGAATACCTGTAATAATGGTGGATGGTATCCAAGTTCGGCCCGGCCGAACTTTATACTTTTCTTCACTTGTTTATTGTTGTTTCTCATAATAAAATTTAGTGTATTTGTTAAGATGAACTTACCCAAAATGTCCTTCCATTTTATTTACAGATGTATCATCCCATACAAATGAAACCCGCCGATAGTGAAAATCGTAATGGTAAGTAGACTTCGAATAATTAATATTTATAAATACCCTCATCAAATAAGCGTATCATAAAACGTAAGCTATAGTCGATTCCAAAAATAAAGAAAAAATTGAAAAGTTTAAACTTTAAAAAAATTTGCTACGTAGATTTCGATTTCGAAGAAATGACAAAAATCCCCTAACTCAACAGAAAAGACGAAAAAATTGATGAAATTTGCAATTAAAAAGCCTCTTTTCTATTTGAAAAAAAAATCATGCAGTTTTTTTTCGAACTAACTTCTCTGTCTATCATTTTAATGTATTTAAATACCAATAGAAAAATGCGAATATATCTTCATACGCAAATAGCCATTCATTTTTCTTTACCCCAAACCAAACAAAAACATGGATATTTCTCTGCCTTCCCAAAAAATTCAAAAAACAAAAACGCAACAAATTGACCCAAAAAGGCATAACATGAAGAAGAAGAGGAACAACAACAACAAACTATTTACCATCAACAGACTTATGGAGGCAAGATACACAGACCCTAGCAACGAAACAAACACAACCAGTAGGACAAACAAAAATTGTGGGATTGGAGACGAAAAAAAAACAAAACAACAACAGAAAACCAGCAACAACAAGTCTTATACCACATTCCATGACGTTGTTGATGTTGCTGTTGTTGTTTTTTCTTTGGCCCAGAAATGTTTTGTTATGGTTTAGTTTAGTCATTCGATACTGTTGTTGTTGTCGTCGTCGTTTCTTGTCGCCCTACCCCTATCATTTCTCCCTGTATTCGGACATGCTGCTGCCCCTTTGCATAGATAAATGTGTTGATGATGAAAGGGTCACATAAACAATGTGCCTAGGCCATACCACTGGCAAACACTTGACAAACTCTCACATTATTTGAACTTTCAACCAAGCCACCAACCTAGCCCCCCCTCGCCTTCACATCACACCCTTCAACTACCATGAAACAGTTCGGACTACTTACAACATCAAGTGTTGCTGCCATCATGTTGTCACCAACACCCATCGCATCCCATTCAGCAACAGCCCACCCAACCAACTATCGTACTCATCAGCTTTGTTCTGCCACTTGACTGGTCAGTCTATGTACTGCCCAGAAGAGAGAAGAAGGTGGAGGTTGGGAAGGAAGAAGGACATGAATCTAAGCTTGATTTCCAAAAAGCATCCAAAACATACATCAACACTTGGTGACACTGAAAGAGCGTCACACTAAATCATATAAAGTGTCTTTTTTTGTTTGATAGGAACCGGGGAGGCGTAGGCCACAAAAAAGAGCGGCTATCATTTTTTTCTGTTTGTTTGTTTGTCCTGCCGCCAGAATGGCCTTTGATACTTCATTGCCGTTGTTTTTTTGTTTTTTTTTTTGACTGTTGCTGGCATTTTTTGGCAATAAGTGGATTTTGTTGGCAGGATTTTCGTTTTTTTTATGTGCAAAAATAAACAAATCATAAAACATTTTCACACAAAGCCAACAACAACAGCAACAACAAAATTAACTGTGACTTGCATGGGCATTATAAAATATTAAAATTACCCTTTTGAATATTATATTTTCTTGTAAGGGGCAAAATTATGTATAGGCTCGAATATGAAATACGGGATAATATAATTAAATTATGGTTTATAAAATTTGTAAACATATTATATAAACTTAATGGAAGACCACAAAATAAATTAGAAACCAGTAAGGAAAGTAGTTAAGTCGGACGGGGCTGACCATATGATACCCTTCACCACTATGGGTGTATTAAACAGGACTATTAACATGAAATTGGATGAAATAAAATATGTGATATTTATCTAAATGTGAAACGACCTAGATCTATCCATTATTTTGTTACAATGGAATAAAAGTATGTAAATCGACTTCAAACAAATATAAATAGGTCATCCGTTGGGCTATGTCTGTACATCTAGAAAACGCAACTACATTATTCTATGCTAAATTTTGTACATTGTGATGTCAATCTAACATATATGATGAGTTTGAAGCTCAATTTACTTATATATGGATGCTATATCCAAATATGAACCGATTTCAACGAAACTTGTCACATGTTAGGTTATACTGATTTCAGTAAGTTTTGTTCCTATCAGCCATATATTGGTTCCTCGGTGCGTCAATTACTTAAAATCAATCTATAATATAAGGGAGCTATATATAAATCTCAACCATTTTTCACTAAACTTGGCACACATTATTCTGGATTAAATTTAAAACGCTATGCAACATAAGAACTTGGTACATCATTTAGATTAAATCGGACGAAAATATATATATCTAAATCTGAATCGATTTTCACGAAACTCAGCACACATCATTCCAGCATCAATTCAGTACGTTATGCCAAATTGCAAATCGATAGATATATGGGACTTTGGTGCACCATTTACATGAAATCGGACGAAACTATATATGGGAGCTATATCTAAATCTGGACCAATTTTCACAAAACATACAAGACATCATTCTAGGGTCAATTCAGTACGTTAACCCAAATTTCGTGCAAATCAAAAGATATATAGGGGCTTTCGTGCACAATTTACATGAAATCGGACGAAACTATATATGGGAGCTATATCTAAATATGGACCGATTTTCACGAAACTTGGCAGACATCACTTTAGGTTTAATTCAGTGCGTTGTGCCAAATTTCGTGCAAATCGAAAGATATATAGGGATTTTGGTGCACCATTTACATGAAATCGGACGAAACTATATATGGGAGCTATATCTAAATCTATACCGATTTTCTGGAAACTTAACAGACATCACTCTAGGCTCAATTCAGTACGTTATGCCAAATTTCGTGCAAATTACATGAAATCGGACGAAACTATATATGGGAGCTATATCTAAATATGGACCGATTTTCACGAAACTTGGCAGACATCACTCTAGGTTCAATTCAGTACGTTATCATGCAAATGGAAAGATATAGAGGGACTTTGGTGCCCCATTTACCTTTAATCGGGCGAAACTATATATGGGAGCTATATCTAAATCTGAACCGATTTTCTCGAAACTTGGCAGACATCATTCTTGGCTCAATTTAGTACGTTATGCCAAATTTCGTGCAAATCGAAAGATATATAGAGACTTTGGGGCACCAATTACATGAAATCGGAGGAAAATATATATGGGTGCTATATATAAATCTGGACCGATTTTCACGAAATTTGGCAGACATCACTCTAGGCCCAATTCAGTACGTTATACCCAATTTCGTGCAAATCGAAAGATATATAGAGACTTTGGACACCATTTACATGAAATCGGACGAAACTATATATGGAAGCTAAATCTAAAACTGGACCGATTTTCTCGAAACTTGGCAGGCATTGTTCTAGACCTAAATGATTAGCCTGTACCAAATTTCGTGCAAATCGAGAGATATATAGGGACCGTTTACATTAAATCGGTTAAATATATATATGGGAGCTATATCTAAATCTGAACCGATTTTTCCCAATTTCAATAGGGTTCGTCCTTGGTCCGAATAAGTGACCTATGCCAAATTTCATCCAATTCGGATCATAAATGCGACCTGTACTTTGTTTACAATTTAACATGGACAGACAGACAGACGGACGGACAGACGGACGGACGGACATGCATAAATCGACTTAGAAAGTGATTCTATGCATATTCTATCTCGTTTCCTTTTGCCTGTTACAAACATATGCACAAAGACATAATACCCTGTACCACAGTGTGGTGAAGGGTATAAAAAAATTGTTGAGATTCACTTTGTAGCCAATATCTCCAGAAACAATTCTAAAAAGCCAAATTTTAATCGAAGAATTATTAACACCTAAATTTTGTATTATTCTGAAAAATTAAAATGTTCTCTGTTTTTTCCACAATTATTTTGAATACGCTATTGTTTATACATCACCCTTAAAACATGTAAACATTGTAATTAACACTCTTTCATCAGCTAATTATGACGGAATAGGCTTATAGTTGTAATATCTCTTCCCAACTGAATGTGCATCGTTGCATTACTAAATGACTTCGAGGTGGTGCGGGATCCACAAACACCACCACCTCAGAGCAGTAATTCGCACAGCATTGATAATAAATGAAACAAGAACATTTAAGACGAATGAATGAATCAACATTGGAGATGTGTAACACAAAGAGAGCTATATACTTACATACATACATACACGATTCTAATTTGTGTAATACAATATTCCGCAAAGGGAGGTAGTATGATAAGGAGGGTAAAACAGTATATATTTCATGATCCAAAGACAGTAAATCGTAAATAAAATATTGTTTCAGGGCCAAACCGAACAAGGATTTTATTAAGAATATTTTTGCAGGGACTAAAATAACCTGAGTTCAATATACGTTTTTTTCAGGGACCAATTTTAAACAATATTTTTTCTAAAGGCCTATAAGTAGGCGTGGATTTTTAAAGAATATTTTTTCAAGGCCTAAAAAAGGTGTGAATTTTAATAAATATTTTTCTATGGCCTATAAATAGGCGTGGATTTTTAAAGAATATTTTTTCCATGGCCTATAAATAGGCGTGGCTTTTTAAAGAATATTTTTTTCCATGGCCTATAAACAGGAGTGGATTTTTAAAGAATAACGTGGATTTTTTTTTTAAATTTTAAAGTATTTTTCTTCCATAGCCTATAGTTAGAAGTGAATTTTTAACGAATTTTCTCTAAGGCCTAAATTTAGGCGTGGATTTTTAAACAATATTTCTTCTAAGGTCTTTGTTAGGCGTTGATTTTTAATGAATATTTTTCCACGGTTTTTTTTAAGGTCTGTAATTAGGCGTAGATTTTTAACGAATATTTTTCCACGGATTCTTTCTAAGGTCTGTAGGCGTGGATTTAAAAAAAAAAATATTTTTTCAAAGGTCAAAACGAGTGGACTTTTATATAATATGTTTTATAGATTGTTTTTCAAGGCACAGTCCATAAGGCGATGATTTTAAAAATAATGTTTTTTTCAACGCCCAGTAGAGCTTAGA